ATGTGTTCATAAAACTGCTATTCAAGACCAAAATATAATTACATGAGATTGAATAACTGATGAAATGTTTTTATGACTTTCATTTGAAATATTGTTAATTCTTTACTTAAATGTCTTATTTTCTAGATTTAAGGAAATTTTCTCTCTTATGCTATCTATACTTTACAGCAATTGTCTTAAGTATACTTTTGTGAATAAAGGTGGAGACATTTGCTTTTTTTCCCTGCTTGATCCCTCCCCAATTCAGAAACTATTTATGAGAATTCTTATGGCAATATAGTTATTTGCGTAAGTTCAATAAAAATCTGTTCTCTCTTTATAACAAGATACAACTGGAAACATTAGTTATGCTACCTAGGCTTTGACTGAAATATCATATTTGAGAATGTGCATAGAATGTCTCATTTCAAGAGTTCCTAGTCTTACAGTAAGTGAATCAAAATTATCCCTTCCTGACAGGACCAGGAACATTGGACTATAGGTAAAACCAAAAATTTTCCTTGGCTTGGCTTCCTAGCATAAAGAGGTTTTTAAAACTGTGATTTCTATGTGATCTATATAGACAGAAAAAGTTACATTGCTAAAGAAAAGCTATGATGCACCTGTTATTAGATTGTAGCTCTGTGCATTGCTTTCAAGTTCTTGTTATCTACCTGTAGACTAGATTACATCCTAAATTTTTCTAGGTTCCTCCAATCCAATTTTCTTCCATAGAATTACTAAAAATGGGAACTTCTCTGTTCCTGAAGCCCCAAAGCTGAAACTAGATGAATTTTAGGGAACAAGGGTATCACATGGTGAGGGGGCTGAGTGTGCTAATATGCTAATGTGCTAGCTCAGGTCTCTCTCCCTCTTCTTATTATTTAAAGCCACTGGTTCCCTTCTCATGATAACCCATTAATCCATTGCCCCATTAATCCATGAATGGTTAATCCATCCACGAGGGGAGGGCCCTCATGACCCAATCACCTTTTTATGGCCTCAGCTCTCAATACTGCCACATTGGGGATTAAGTTTTAACATGAGCTTTGGAGGAAACTTTCACACCACAGCACTGATAAATAAAAGAAATTTATTTTTCACAGTTCTGAAAGCTGGGAAGTCTAAGATCAGGGTGTCAGCATGGTTGAGTTCTGGTGAGGGCTCTCTTTCTGGTTCATAAATAGTACCTTTGAGCTGTGTCCTCACATGGTGAGAAAGAGAACTCAGCTATCTGGAGCTTCTTTTATAAGGACATTAATCCCATTATTGGGGACTCTGTGCTCAAGACCTAATCATCTCCTAAAGTCCTCATCTCTTAATAGCATTACATTGTTGATTAGGTTTTAATATAGGAATTTGTGGGGACACAAACATCCAGACCATTTCAGATCAAGGAGACTAATACAGTTGGAGAAGAGTGAGTTGCTAAATCGCAGGAGATAAGGTCAGAAAGTTAATTATATGTTTGAAAGGGTGTGTGCACTTGGAGGGCAAGGTAAGGCCTCAAAGGTCATTTTAATGACTTTATTTTTTATTTGGAGGGAGATGGGAAGTAACGGGAGGGGTTACAGAAAAAAGATGACATAATCTGAGTTAAATATAGCTATTCTTTTGACAATAAATAGAAACAGACTGAGGGTATTGAAATAATCCAAGTGAGAAATGATGGTGGCTTGACTGAGAGTGGCAGTAGTGGAAGGGGGAGTTGTGACCAGATACGGCTAGTAGAGCTGACATGATTTGCTGAAAGATTGAATGTGGGGTGAAATAAAGAGAGGAGCTAATGCTAATTCCAGGATTTCAGCCTGAGTAATTGGAAGAATGGAAGTACCACCAGTTGTGATAGGGATTGGGGGTGCAAGGCAGATCAAGAGCTAATTTTAGACATGCTACATTAAGATGACTTTTAGAATTCTCCTCCACTGGAGGATTGGATATGCATGGCTGAAGCTTAGGATGGAGAATCAGCTGGAGATGTAAATTTGGTATTTAAAGCCATAATACTGGGTGTGATCACATAGGGAATAAGTGTAGATAGAGAAATCTGAGGTCCTAGTCATGGGGTACTCCAAAATTTAGAGATCACACAGAAAATAAGGAACCAGAAAAGGGAACTGAGGCACCATGGGTAGGAATAAAACCAAAAGGGAATCATATCTAATTAAAGAAATTGTTTTTTTGGAGGAAAAAAATCATGAAAGCCAACAGATATTATTGGTTGATTAAATAAACTGGAGCCTGTAAACTGACCATGGGATTTACAAGTATCATGTTACTGGTCATGTTGACCCAAACAATTTTGGTAAAGAGATAGGTACAAAAGTCTGATTGCAATGGTTTCAAGAGAGAATGTGAGGAAATAATTGGAGACATTGAATTTAGCCAACCCTTTCTAGTTTTTCTGTAGAAGGGCAAAAGTGAAAGGCAGGATCAAGAGAGGATTTTCAAAAGACTGAAGTTATAGCATGTGTGTGTGCTGATGGAAAAAATTCGCCAAAGAAGGAAAATTCATGAAGCATAAGAGTTGGGAGAATTGCTAGAGAAATGTCTTTAAGAAAGGAAAGGGCCTGGGATCTAAGGCACAAGTGGTTGGCATTTCATCCATGGGAGCAGGTGGAGACTGGTGGGTAGATGTGGTGGTGAGAGAATGCAGAAAGTCTCTATGAGTATTTTTTATTTTTTCAGTGAAGCAATGTCATCAACTGAGAGTGAGAAGTATAGGGTGGAAAGAAGAGAGGGCATAACATAGCTATTTAAGAGAACAGGTGAATGAATGACCTTAGGAAATATCAAAGGATTGCAGCAGTACTTAGAGCCCACTTGAGTGTTCATGAATTTGAGATCAGATACAAACCCACCTATATTGCTTTCTTAAGTCAGTGTCAATGCAAGCTTACAATGAATTGAGATTTTAATTTAAGCAGCGTTGGGGTTTTGTCAAATGAGAATAAGGAAAAAAGAGAATGACTAGAGAGTTGAGGAGAAATGCAAGACAGTATTATAATGATGCACAATGGACCAAAGGAGGGAAGATAAGGTGCAGAGTGGGATTGGGAGGGAGAGAGGAGCAAAAAGAGATAAGATAGTAATTTCAGCGGCATCTTAGAATTGTTGGGGTTGGGAAACTGGAGGGAGTGAGTTCAAAATACAGGAGATGAGGTTGAAGAGAGACAACTGAATTGTGGATATGGAAGGATAAGGTATTAGGTAATGACAAGGCCTCATGTATGACTACAGGCATGAATGACTTATATGGTGTAAAATAGGACTGTTGGCTGAGAGAAGGTCTTAGAAATGGGAGGTCAGGTAATGGAAGGATTGTCTGTGTGGGTATATTGAGATCACAATAATTATTACAGCAATAGTATTAGCAAAAATTACAATTAAAATCACAGTGGATCTTGTTAACCTAAAAAATAACAAGATCTATAAATTTAGAAAAGGAGAGCTTTATTTCTTCTAAAGGGTTACAGCCTGCTAGGTGGTCATTCGGACAGGCTGGGAAGTGTAGTCTCTGGTCAAAGTCCTAAAACAGGCACTTTGAGGGCTAAGACAGGAACTTAAGCTGAACAGTTGACCAAGTATTCAGTAGGTTACAGAAGGAGCTATGAATATTCATGAAAGTGGTCCTGATGCATGTGTATTGAACAAACATGCATGTAACATAGGACACAAAGGCACTCAAGTTCGTAGCCTCTATAAAACCAGCCAGAACTAGTCTATGGTTGGCAGTCTTCTTATCAGGAGAAAGTTATTGAAATAAGTCTCTTGTCCAATCAAAGTTATGGCTTGTGGGGGCATCTGGCAGTGAGCTTCAAACTGTTTTAATATTGCATATCTCAAAGCCAGTGCCTATTTAGCTGCTAAAGAAAAACTTTGTGGTAGTTAGAAAGCAGTTTATTCCTTAAGGGTAGGGGTGCATGACTTAACCCTTGCCTCTCTTGTCCTTAGTTCTTGTTTATCATTTGGTATCTTATTGCTACAAAGAATCTATTCTGTCAGTCTTATGTTGGTTAGTTGTTTTGTCTAAACCCCAAAAGGCAGGGGGTATAATGAGGCATGTCTGACCTAGACATGGCCTCCTGTCATGGCCCAGAACTCAGTTTATCAGGTTTCCGTGGGGTCTCCTTGGCCTAGAAAGGGTCCATTCAGTCAGTTGAGAGCTTAGAATTTTATTTTTAGTTTACAACCTCAAAGAGTGGTTCTCAGATTAGCAATGTCAAAGTCTCCTCTCCTGAGTACTGTACTTGTTAGAAATGCAAATTCTTGCATCCCACCCAGATCTAGTGAATGAGAAATTCTGGGAGTGGAGCCTTGCAAACAGTGTTTTAACAAGTCCTCCAGGTGATTATGATACACATTAAAGTTTGAGAACTACTTCTATGGTAGCACAGAAGATAGAGGAGTTAACTGCTTGGAGAAGTAACAAAGGCTTCAATGAGTTAGCATTTATACTACATCCGGGAAAGTTACTGCAAGGTTAAGAGGGAGGATCCTTAAAGTTAAATGGAGCAGCATTTGTAAAGAAAAGCTAGAATCATGAAAAAGCCTAAGGTAAGATCAAATGAAATTATGTAACAGTATACATTGTTAACTGTTAATATCAGAAAAGCACACCTGGCTAGGAAGGCACTGATCCTTTAGGAAGCCTGATAAAACATCACAAACTTCTTTTTTATTCATTTACTTTTTAGTACATTGGTATTAGGCTCAGTATAGAGTGAAAGCTTGGAGAACAAGTGTAGCTGCCTTGGCGTACCAACCAATCTCTCCACAATTTCCCATCATCTCTACGACACCTAGGAGAAACAGTTCCACACAGCAGCTACAATACAGAAAGGGTGAAAGGAAGCCCTTTAATGACGTCACGGAGCGCCTGGGACCTGCCCACCGTGGGTGTTTTCCACCTACAGCAGCCGGGTGCCTCCGGGGGCGGGGCTTGCGTAGGCTTGACGTCACTACAGAGCGCCCGGCGCGCTCTGTTGGCGGCGGATTTGAATGCTAGGACGGGTCGCAGGGTCTGAAGAGGTGTTAGAGGGGCAGGATTGTTCTAGCTGTCCCAGTGGCGGTGAGCTTGTGTGCGCTGCGGGGAGGTCCTGGGAAGCTGAGGCGGCTGCTACCTGACAGGAGGATGGGGCTCTCGACCACCGTCTCCCAGAGGAAGCAGATAAAGCGGAAGGCTCCCCGCGGCTTTCTAAAGCGGGTCTTCAAGCGACATAAGCCTCACCTTCGACTGGAGAAAAGCGGCGACTTACTGGTGAGATTCCATTCCTTCTCGGGCTGGGAATGGGGCCCGTGAAAGTACGGGGAATTACAGGAAATGACCCTTGTTTCTCCTTCCTCAGCCAATCTATAGCTCATTCAGGCCCATGTTTAAGGCATTTCCAGCAATGGCTATGTAGGTTGGCCCCAACCTAGCATGTCAGTTTATATTCCTGACGTTTAGTTGTATCTCGGTCCGCCGAAATGTAAATATCTGTATCTTTAAAAAAGATTTTTAGCCACGTCAACTTAAGGAGAAAACTAACATAAAGTTCCTGCTTATAGTTTTAAAATATGCCACAGTTCTGGCATTGTGATTAGAGTACTTGTGAAGGGTGTGAAAGATACAACCTTTTTAAAAATAGATTTTGGAATTAAGTCTGGGTCATTTTTATTTAACTGTTAAAGCCATTGCCTATTTGCCTTTTGAGTGCTTCCCTTCTTGCCTCCCTCCCTTCTGTTTTTACATTGTTAACCAAACACATTGCCCAGGCTGCTTGCCAAAGGACGCTGATTTGAAAGTTTATTTGTAAGTAGAATGCTTTCAACTGTGAATTCATTTTCCTAGACAAATAATAGAACAACTATTAGTTCAGTTTTAAACCAGGCCACTAAACTCATAATACCAGAAGCATAGTGCTCTTCTAATAAATGGCCCTAATCTATGATAATGTTTCTGTCTTGAAATAAGTTCAGAGTTTATGTGCTGAATGCCTGGAACGCATATTCCTGTAGCACTATTTCTCTAGGTGTAATCCATAGGAAGCACATCCTGTGGGTTGTCACAAGAGCTCTTTGAGTAAAGGAGCCATTATAAGTGGACACTTAATTTCCAGGAGATCAAGGTAAAGAATAGTGGATAATAAGGGCATACTGCATAGATCGTCTTGGCCTTGCATCATTCCAGCTGTTCTTAAACTGCATTGGTTTTTCTACCTACTCTTTTCTCGATAGCCTCCCTGAGTTCTCCACTGCCTCTCTGTTGCCTCCTTTTTGCTAAAGTACTGTAGAATTATCTCCACGATTCCCTTATTTGATCTCTGAAGTCAAAGCACAACATTTTCCCTCCTGGAAAAATACTACTGCTATCTCCTGCCCTCCATTTGTTCCTTTCTTAGATCTTGTTTTTTTTAAAAAAGGCCATTAATGTTTTATACCCCAACCTCAAAACACTACCCCATGGTTGTGGTGGAGGTAGTGCAAATGAGTTGGATTAAAGTCAAATTTACTTGCAAAACATTTTTAGGTAGTTTATTTTGGAGTTTTCAATGGGGCTTCTAAATGGTGGGGAGGAAATGCACCTGATCAAGGATATCTAGGAGACTGCCAGCTGGTGCAGATGGTTGGGCAGAAATTTCTCAAGTAGTTAGCATCTTCCCACATTCTCCCCTTTTTGCCCCAAAGTGACCCATAGACAGGTGGTCTCAATGGTGGGCTGGGCTCCAGGTGGCATGGGAAAGAAGGGAAGTTGAAATTCTAAGCAGTTGCAGTGATGGGGGAAAGAAAGTTCCTTTTAGCCACCAGCTATTCCCAGGTAGTATGCCTGTCCTGTTTGGCTTTCTTTAAACAGTGTCTTTCACTGTTTTATATGTGGCATGTATCACCCTGTTTCTTTGCTTATGGTTTTCTGCTCACCATTGGTACTTCATCATCTTACCCAGCAGGTGTCCCACATCATCCATGAAGTTTTCCACAGTTAAGGCACTATGTTTTGATTTCTTCTTTTTTCTGAACTTGGATGGTAGTAAGAGTGTTCATCATATAATTTAGTTATTGGAACTCTAACACTGTTCTCCCAGTGTGGTATGCAGCTTCTTGAGACTAAGGAACCACATCTCCTTTTCTATCTCTCATCTCTGTCTTTAACCCAAAATGAATCTACTTTTATGCTGTCTTTTTTGCATGATATGTCTTTTGCCTGAAGATGTCTTCACTCCACTCGGCAAACTACAATTTTTTCAAAATTCAGTTCAAATGTCACTTCTTCAGGGAAGCCTTTCTTAATCTTCTTAGAAAGAATCAGTCTTATCTTCCATTTTATTGTCTATTGTCACACATTTGTCTTTAATTTCTTTATGGGTTTGATTGTTCCACTAGTCTGGGAACTTGCATTGGGAACTTTTTGTATTCATATTTTTATATGTTTAGCATAATACCTTGAACATTCTGTATACAATTATTATTGGAAATGCATGATAACTTATGCGGATTGATGTCATTTCTAGCATTTTACTTATTTCTTTGTGTTATTTTATAGTTCAGCACACTGGCTTTTTGTTATTTTGTTTTATGCCTTATTTGATCGTATATCCCTGGGGCTAGTCCTGGTGAGAGATTTAACATCTATTAAATTTGAATAACTTGTTTAGTTTTCTTGTGGCTCAGTTAGCTTATATATTTGTCACAAAAGCATGCTGCACAAATATCTGGGTGCTTATGGTTTGTTTAAAACTCAAAGGTGCTGTGACAATGGAAGGAGGAAGTCAGGTTGGCCCAGTCTTTCTGTCAACTGAAACTGTCAAGAAATGGATATTTCTTTGTAAATGATCTTTTGATTTACCTTTCAAGCAAGCTGATTTTTTTCCAAAGTAAATTGTTGATACAATAGCTTACCTTTTTCAAGTTTGAATGCCTAGCCAAATAACCTTGACACTAGTTTTTGTTCTGACCATTTTAATAATAAGCTTTAGTTCATGTTAGTGGTGCCACTCAACTGTTTTATGACATAGATATAGGTTGCTTAAAAAATATTTCTGTGACATCTGAAAAAGTAATACTAATTTGTCTCAGTATGTATGGTTCCTGCCCATGAAGAGGAAAGGACATTCTATGTAGGTTAATAGCATGAACTAAGTCTTAAAACTGTGGTTTCATTAAAAAAAAAAAAAAAAAAATTTTTTTTGCCTATTTTGGGAAGCTATAGAGGGATCTTTTCTTCATGCAATAATAATTATTGGCTACCTACTATGTATTGGACAGTGGACTAAAGGTCAGTGGGGATATAATGTTGAGAAGGATAGACATAGTTCTTGCCCTTATAGTACATTGAGGAACACAGTTAAGAGAAAAAGTATAGTATAATGTGTTATGTACAATGATAGGAAGTTCAGAGTAATGTGGATCACTATAACCTTGCATATTGGGTAAAGTTGGCCTTTTCGGGAATGTCAACAAACTGTAGGATGCTCCGAGGCAAGGTTGTGTTTGAATTCTGGAAGAAATTCAGAAGACGTAGTGTAGAACTGGAAGCTGACAAAGGTGAGAGATAAAACAGGAAAGGGCCTAGTCAAGTGGGATTTAGTGTTAAGGAATTTGGAATTTACCCTGACAGTATATGGAAGCTATTTATCTTTAGAAGTAGAAACATAGATTAACAGATGAAATAACGCCATATTATGGAAGTTTTTGCTACCAAAGGAAATATCATGGGAAATTTTAAAAATCGAATGATGTGGTATAATGTAAAGAATTGGAATCGAGTTGCTTTACCTCAGAGTCCTTGTGAGTTAAAGAAAGTGCTTCAGAAAAATACTAAAAGATTATCACTTTCCATAGGTTCTTAATCTTATTAAATTTAAATTCCCAAACCCCTATTTTCTTCAAATATCACTAGAACATTCTTAAACACCTATATAATGATCCACTAAAGATTTCTTTGTAATGTAAAGCATTTAAAACACCACTTTACTAGTTATTTAACATTTAGTGAACTAGGACTGTTTGTGTGCAGTATACAAGATAGTGAATATTAAGTATTGGTATGAATTGTTCTTCTAACTTCAAAGATTGCGTGTTACATAAATAAATAAGTGTAGAGCTTGTTTACATACATATTAAGTAATGAGAGAGATATACATACACACATGTTTATATATGTGTATATATAAAATCTGATTATGTTTTACTTATATGTAGAGCTTGTTTCTATAGGAATATGTAAGAAATTGTCAACAATGGTTGACTGGGAAATGATGTAGGAGAGAGAATTATTTCTGACAGTTTACTTTTTTGTAGATTTCTTATTTTATGTTTTTATTTTAAAATAATTATGGACTCAAAAAGTACAAAAATAGTATAGAATTTCCATGTATCCTTTACCCAGCTTCCCATAATGCTAACATCTTACATAGCTATAGTTCTTCACAGGCTTTTGAGTTTTATACTGTCTGCTTATATTATCTCTTTTAAATAATTTTTAAGAAGAAGCTTAAAGATTATTTATACTAGGTATTATTTTATGATAGTTGTTAGATGACAAGTCATCTTGACTTTGTACATACACTTTTCAATTCAGCAAACTTTAAAAATTTCAGTTAAATATATTTGTTTTTGAATAAATATTTCAAGTTAAATCTGATTAAAGAATCTTAGACTTTAGATTCTAGAATAATAGCCTAAATCATAGTTGTTGATATATTCTAATTTAAAATTTTCTGGAAATTTTAAACTATAAATTTAAATTTATTTGGAATCAGAAGCAGGAATATTTGTTCCTTAATAGAATCTCATGTAAGTTTTGATATATAGCGATGCTTTATAATATTGCTATTGTCAATGGCCTTTGGTGTACCTTACATAAACTTGTTTTATGTATTTGAATGACTAAATCTCTTTGTAAGGATTCTAAGATGGACTTAGACTGAATTCTATGTAACTTTAAATAGAAGAATTAATTGACTTAATCACAGTAGCATAATAAATAGGACAATAGTAAATTTTGGAATCATTGATTTTTGAAAGTCATTTCCAAGTATCAGTGTTTGAGTTTAAAAATCCACTTGGATTTTTTCTTTTAAAGGTCCATCTGAGCTGTTTACTCTTTGTTCATCGATTAGCAGAAGAGTCCAGAACAAACGCTTGTGAGAATAAGTGTGGAGTCATTAACAAGGATCATGTACTGGCTGCAGCAAAGGTAAAATCTGAGTTTCTTTTCTTGAGCAAGAATTAATTCAAAAATACGACCTGATTCATCACCTCTGCCTGATTTATCACCAGTTAGGAGAAAATGAATGTTTTTTAATTTGTAGGCTGAGAAGGTATATCACCTTGAAATTTATCAAAATTTACTTTCTTCTTGATCATTTTAAATTGTCCTAATTAATCTAATTATTTTATTTTCTAACTTTGTTTTGAAATTTGAGTAACTTATAAATGAAATCTCTTACATAAGCATAGAAGATTTCTTTTCACTGGTATTTTAATATAATGTAAGAATATGATGCCCAAGGCAAAGTTTTCCAAATACGTTCCTGAAAACATTGTTTCCGAAAGATGTTAATAGATGCCCTACCTCAAAAGCTTCTGTGGTCAGATAAATGTAGATTACCTAACATACCATACCTCCTTGATTAGTCACAGTGTTATTGTTTATATGTAGAGGTTCTTTCTGTCAGAATATGTAAGAAATTGGCAACCATAGTTGACTGGATGTTGGTGTGGGAGAGAAACTTATTTTTGACAGTCTTCCTCTTTGTAGACTTTTGTTTGAATATTTTTATTGCGACATAAGTATATACTAATAAGAAGAGGCCAAAATAGTCCAAAATTTCCATGTTCCCTTTATCCAGTTTCTCACAATGCTAACATCTTTTGTAACTCTTATATAACTATAGTTTTATAAAGATATCAAAGGTTATGAGAAATATAGCAGTAAGGAACCTTGTTCAACTCTCTTTAATTTAGCATTTTGTAAATTCATCTGAGTACATAATATTTTCTTTTGAAGTACTCATGGTAAACATCTTGTAGAATAGAGTAGTACTGGCCTAGGGTATAGACTTATTTGATAGCTTTTGTGGAAGTCTAGAAGTATTCATGCCCTCCCATTTTTTAGGGACTTTAAATTCTCTTGCAGTTATAAACATTCCAACAGATTTCTAGACTATTATTTTTCTGCATATAAAGCAAAGCTTAAGAGTATATATATGTATGTTTTAATGTTAGAATTTGTTTTTATAATAAGCTACAGGTTTATTTACTTACCTAGAAAAGTAGATAAGTTCTCTAAAAAATTGAGATACTCTGGTTTTATGCTCCCAGCCTTTTTGCAGCTAAAAATCTCCTTTTGTTTTATTTCTGCCACAGCCTACATGTTTTGAAAATTATCTACTTAACGAGCTGTTCAGCATAAAATGACCAGTCTTAGTTTCTATATTGGTAAAATTTCAGCCCGAATATAAGAAATTTGGTGTTGCAGTGCAGTGGATTTATATTGTTTTATAGTTGTGAAATGCCTGATTTATAATAAGCTTTTCAAATTTTAGAACATTCTTTAACTCCGTGGATCACTAAGTTGTCTAAAAGCCTCGAGTTTAGAACCATTAATCAGGACAGTTTTGGTTTACAATTGAAGAAATTAATGTCTAGCACTGACTGTAAAACCAGATTTTGAGACCCTAGGCGAATTTCACATTCACTGAGAGAGGTAGACTATTTTAAAGAAATCTAAGCAATTTGTAAGGCAAAAGATTCCCTAATCACCTTCCAAATTTGATTTTATAAATTCATTCTTACATATTATACACATAGGACTATTTAATCTTTTGTTGAGGAATTATGTTTTATTTTCCATAGGTATAATATTAATCTTATTTCTTTCCCTCTCACAGGTAATTCTAAAGAAGAGCAGAGGTTAGAAGTCAAAGAACACATTCTTGAAAATGTATGATGCATTATTTTAGGTGGTAACAGGTCATAAAAGCATTTTTTACATATCAATTAATGTTATGGATTATTAAAATATTGGCTAGTTCAGGGATGTGTGTGTTTGTATATGTTTTTGCTAGTATTGAAATATCTCAAGTAAACACATATGACTATTTTTGCCTTTTTTAAGAATTATGTTCTTTTCATTTTTAGTGGGCTATAGTTCATTTTGCTTCTGTATATTTATTTCATTTCAATATTTCATTTTTATATACCAAAAATATAGTCTTACTATATTAAGTAGCTTGAAGAGATGTATTTCTTAGAATTAAGTTTGTATGTATTTAGATTTAGCCACAATTAACTATGGGATTAATTTAATCTCTGAAGAAAAACAACATGCAGTCAAATCTTGGTGTACTTTAAATATTAATTTTAACTTTCTAATGTCTTTGTAAAGCAATCTACTTTTTTGTCACGCCAATAGTAATGATATAATTTCTCATCTGAAGGATTGCAAACATCAGCAAGGTTTTTCCAAACCTGTCTCCCTCCCAAAATCTAAAAACAGAAATTATGGAGCAAACTAATTTCTTTTCTTCAAATCATGTGGATTTAATAGGTGTCTTTTTCTCCCCAAAGGAATCATTTAGAAGTTTATTGTATATCATCTAATATTTTTGTTTACTATTTTTAATTTTTTATTTTAAAATAATTATAGATTGCAGCATGCAGTTGCAAACATAGTACAGAGAGGTGGCATGTATTCTACACCCAGTTTCCCTCAGTGATTATATAATTATAGCATAATATCAAAACTAGGAATTTGATACAGGTACAATGTATGTGTAGTTCCATACCATTTTCTCACATGTAGATTCATGTAACAGTTACTACAATGAATACATAGAACTATTTCATTACCACAAAGATCTCCATTGTGCTATCCTTTGATAAGTACACCTAACCCACCACATCCCCCACCCTGGCCACTATCCCTATCCCCTGGCAACTGCAACCTGTACTCCATGTCTGTAATATTGTCATTTTAAGAATGTCATATAAATGGAATCATACAAGAAATGACTTTTGCGTATTGGGTTTTTTCACTCTAATGTCCTTGAGATCCATTCAAATTGTTGCAGTATTCCATGGTATGGATGTACCACAGTTTGTATAACTACTCATTTATTGAGGAACACTTGGTTATTTACAGTTTTTGGCTATTACAAATAAAATTTCTATGAACAGTTGTGTACAGGTTTTCATATGGACATAAATTTTTATTTCTTTGGGATAAGTGGCTGGGGGTTTCATTCTGGGTAAAATGCTAAGCATATGTTTAGTTTTCAAAAAAGAAATGGCCAATTTTCCAGAGTGCTGCTAACATTTTATATTTTCATTAGCAGTATATGAGAGATCTACTTTCTCAATATTCTCAAATATGTGGTATTGTTATTTTATTTTAGCTGTTCTGACAGGATTGTGTCTCATCATGGTTTTAATTTGCATTTTCCTAATGGCTAATGTATTAGTTTAGTTTTCTAGAAAAAAGTACCATGGACTGGTTAACTTATATACAACAGAAATTTATTTCTCACAGTCTGGTGGCTACAAGTCTAAGATCAGGGAGCCAGCATGGTTCAGTTCTGGTGAGGGTCCTTTTCTGGGTTATAGAGTACTAACTTCTCATTAGAGAGCTCTCTGTGGTCTCTTTTATAAGAGCATTAATCCCATTCATGAGAGCTTTATCCTAATGACCCAATTACCTCCCAACTTCCATCTCCTAGTACCATATATTGTTGATTAGGTTTCAACACATTAATTTTGGGGAACACAAACATTTCAGTCCATAATAACTAATGATGTTGAACATATTTTCATCTGCTTCCTTTCTATCTGTATATCTGCTCTGGTAAAATGTTTGTACATGTCTTTTTATCCATTTTCTACTTGGGGGGTTTGTTTTTCTAATTATTCCTCTTCTTTTCAATTCTTTTTCAGAATTGTCTGTTCTAGTTCCTTTGTGTCAATTTTAGAATAATCTTGTCTATATGTACAAAAAAATCTTGCTGGGATTTTGATAGGAATTGAACTAAACGTATATATCCATTTAGGGATAATTGCATCTTTGCTATGTTGACTCTTCTAATCCGTGAATGTGTACTATTTCTTCATTTATTTACAGCTTTGATTTCTTCTTCATTGTTTTGTAGTTTTTACTTTTATTATTTCACTTGTTTAGAGAACTTCCTTTAGCCATTCGTTTAGGCTTGATCTGCTTGTGACAGATTTTCTTAATTTCCTTCATCTAATAATGTCTTGATTTCTTCTTCATTCTTGAAGCATAATTTTGCTGGATATACAATTCTGTGTTGAGAATTCCTTCAGCATTTGAAAAATGTTATATCACTTCCTTATGGCTGATTTCAAGATTTTTCTTGTTTTTAGTTTTTTGAAGTTTGGCTGTGATTTGTCTTATCATGGATTTCTTTGATTATATTCTATTCTGGGTTCACTCTATGTTAATATATTTTGCCAAATTTGGGATGTTTTCACTCATTACCGTTTTGAATACTTTCTAGCCTTATTCTTTTTTTCCTCTCTGGGACTCTGATGACACAAATGTTAGCTCTTTTATTGTAGCTTCACAAATTCTTGAGACCTTGTTTTTTTGTCTGTTTTCTGTTTTTCAGATTGGGTAGTTTGCATGTTCTGTCTTCTAATTCACTGATTCTTTCCTCCCATTCTGCTTTTGACCCATTGAGTTTTTTTTTTTCCCCCAGTTATTAGTTGTCAAAGTCCTACTTGTTTCTTCTTTATATCTTCTATATTTTTGCTGAGACTTTGTATTTTTTCATTTGTTTCAAATGTGTTTATAATTACTCATAGAAGCATTTTTATGACAGCTTCTTTGAAATCCTTGTCTCATCAGTATCTGATATCTGGTTGACGTTTGTTGATTGTCTTTATTCAGTTCGAGATCTTGATTCTTGGTATTATGAGTGATTTTTGATTGAAAGCTGGATATTTTGGGTGTTATAAGACTTTGAATCATTTAAATCTTACATTATTACAGGCTTCCTCTGACATTCTGGTACATGAATGGTGGCACTGCCTTGTTACTTTCAGTGGGTGTGGAAGTCCAGGTTCTGCATTTAGACTCCATTGGCAACTGGCAATGGGGGAGGGAGCTCTCTTTTTGTGATTGCTGGGGAGGGGTGGAAATTCAGTCTTCCTACTAGGCTTTTGTTGATAGCTTCTTGGCTGGAAGGGGAAGGGGCAGGGCATATTGTTACTGCTCCCCACCTTTATTCCAATGATATGGGAAGGTGGTTTTTTTATTGCTGGCCAGTGGTGAAAAGTCCTGACTCTACTATGGCCTCTCTGATACCACCTAGTGGGGAGGGAAAGGGATTCCTTATTAATATAGCCTGAGAATAGAATACCAGGCTCCTTATGTAGTCTTTGCTGAGACTATGAGACGATAGCCTCATTACTGCTGAGTGGTGGTGAAAGTCCTATCTCTCCAGTAGTCTGTGACCCTCCCCAACAAAGAGGGTATGGGGTGCCTTGTTACTGCACAGTTACTGCCAGGTATGGATGAAATTTTGGGTTCTGGATGAAATTCCCAGCTTCTTACTTGGCTTTCTTTGACACCACCCTAAGGGGAGAGGGGGAGTGGGGTACCTTATCACAGCCTAGCAAGAGTAGAAGTCTAGGCTCTCTACTTGGCCTTTGCTGATGCGGGTGGGGAATGAGGACTGCAGTTTTTTTTCCTATAGTGTTTGGTTGGAATAGAGTGGTAATTATCTAAGTTTTATGGTCATGCTAGGGTGCCCCTTGTTTTTTGGTTAGAGCAGGCTTTTTTTGGTACTTTAAAAAATTTGTTGTTTTCCCTTTTGCCTGTGCCCATTGGTGTTTTTTGAGTTGCCAGCTGGGATATAAAAGGCAAAAAGTAAGCCCACGTAAACTCATCATTATATTGTTCTGTTGGTCCCAAGTTCCCAGCCAGTGTGCCTTCTCTCGACTTTTCAGTCTTTTAAAATTTGTTTTTTATGTACATATATTCTAAAGTTTTTAATTGAACTTAGGAGGTGGAATAGGGAAAGTACATCTGCTCCATTGTCTTGAAAGTGAAAGTCCTAATCTAATATTTAAGAAAAACACTTCAAGGAAGTTGTCAACATCTAAGTGAATTATTTTATTCTCAATAAATATGAAACAGAAAAAAGAAACGTATGTACTTGATAATTGTGTAATATAATTGTGATCTCAGTAACCACAGAGTCGTTTGAAATTTATTTGATGGGGTTTTATAATATGTATTTAGCCCTAATGAATGCCAAAATACCCAGTGTCCTGCTTTTCTGGTTGGTAGATAGATTTGAGACCTCTAATTAATGATTCAAAAATCCATTTAGATATATTTTATATGTAATTCCATCTACAACTTTAGCTTTGGAACAGATAATTTTAAATATTTAAATCATTGTTTGCTAGGTAAATTACCAGAATTTTGTTCTACGTAGCTTGTAGCTTACACTTATATTCTGCTTTCCCTAGAGTTTTAAAGTATTCTGCAAAGTCTCTGACATAGAGTTGCCTCTGAATTAGTTATTTTTTTTAAACTTGATGATAGTATATTGAATAACGATTTTCCCTATATTTTCTGCAATTACCTAATTATAATTGTTTAGCACACTTCAGAAACAAAATGAGAGTTCTAGCATATCCTCTTATGAGGAAATTGAGACTCTCATACTTACAAAATTATTTCCTGGAGAGTGACAATAGCAAGAGGTCCCAATGCTCCCCACCTCTTGAACAAAAATAATGAATTAATAGCTACATACTGACTAAAATGTCTCTTGGGGAGCTGTTCCAGAGTATAGTGAAGAACCGGTAGCAACCCAGAGGAGCACAAAAACTAAGGAAGGCTGCATAAAAAAAGCATAGGAAATACCTGTGTCACCCCATCTCTTAGCTTACCATAACTTGGGACCAAGAGGAATCCTCTCCACATGATCTCCTTCCACATGGGAAAAGGAGAGCAGGAGGACCTCAGTAGCCCTTGTCATCACTGTGGACACCCACAGATTT